ATTTACATTATATTAACACCATTACAGTTTATAGATATTTAAGTTAAACAAACTTATCGTAAAGAACAGAACTCGAGGGTTTTCTACGAATAGTTAGATGCTTCAGTGGGGACTGTAGTGCAAACTTCATTTGGATATAGGTAGTGACATATCATTAGGAAAGCACTTGAGAGCTGGGACGGCGGAGTTTACTTTAGCGGCCAAAAGCCCACAAATCTCAGATATGCAGATTTTTGCATCAAGTGAGGATGAGATGGCTTTCGTTCTGAAACGAATAGAAGCCGAAAGTGCCAAGCTTGGCCTAACGACCAACTACTCTAAAACAAAACTAATGGTTATAGATAGACGCCAGCTTCTCCAGCAAACCACGGCCCTTAGCGGATACGAAAAAGTAAACAATTTTGTGTATTTCGGTACGCTTACAACTCAAGATGACAACTACTTGGACGAAATCCGTCGAAGGTAAGGAATAGCAAAAAGTGCCATGACTCAACTATAAAGAATATGGAAAAACCGAAGTATTTGCCATGAGACTAAGATTAGGTTGGTGCGTGCGCTAGTGATCTCCATTATTCTGTATGGTGATGAAACCTGCTGCATAAAGCGTCACGATGTTAATAAGATCGATGCCTTCGAAATGTAGTGCTAGAAAAGATTGCTACGCATACCATGGACTGCCTTGAGGACCAATGACTCAATTTTCCCAGAACTCTAGACCACAAGACAGCTCTCCACCATTTGCCAAGATCGAGCCCTCTGATTTTTCGGACATATCATGCGATTTCCAACGCACAGTCTGGAGAAGCTTCTCATTCTTGGTCAAGTGAAAGGGAAACGATCCAAAGGCAAGGTACTAACAAGATGGTCAAACATTGTAAAGAGGACAGTTAGAGGCACCATCCAACAGACGATCCACCTCGTAGCGGACCGATATTCATGGAAATGCTTACATACGTGTGGAAACGACAAAGAAAATAAGGTGACAACATATTGACTATCTACATATTATAAATAAGTTATGGATAGGTTGGACACAGCTCTCGCTGGCCGCGTGTCTGGTTGCAGCGTTGATCGCGGTCGTAAAGTAAATTAAGCGAAGAAAATTGTTTCATTATTGTCTGCACTATTATCCTTCACCTTAACTATCTAGGCTAATAAAAACCTTTTTATAATCTCTTAAACGGTTAAGCTCGAATTTAACCGCTTAACAATTTCATGTGGAAAACTCTCGAAAACGACAACCGGATTAATGTATGGATGTTTAAGTGCGTTCGCCGCTAGGTAAGTTTTTGTTTAAAGGAATCAAATATCACTTCGAATTTGGAAGTAGAAATGTATTTTCGCGCGCACGTTATAATTATAAGCGAGAAATATTAAATTATGGTTTACATTTTTAGAATATGAATACCTTTGTCTCGTAAGGGTTAAAGGTCGATTACTGTCCGCATTAAATTATGAAGTAAGCCCCGCTGACCTTTAAAAAGTAAAAAAGTCCAATGCGACCTCCAACGCGGAGACCAATTACTGGATTTAGCTGAGTAAGTAACCATTTTGTGGCAGCTTTTTAGGTCAGGTTTTTTTTTCTAATTTTTGCTGTTTAGTGCTTCTTGTAAATAAATGGTAAAAATTAAAAAATAATTTAAGATCAAATTCAAATGTAGACGAATAACATCTTAATGTACTCGTACTAGGAGACTACGAAAACTATACAGTATTTGAAACGTCGAAAATAATAAATTTAAGTCGTAAAAGTAATTATAATTCTTTCTACGACTCGGGAAATTCAATGAAATTTTCATAATACAATACGTTAACTTCTTCTCAGTCGGACACTCTTGACAGATTGGTTGTAATTGTGCAGATGCTGTAAACGAAGCTATCGGATAAGTCCCCAATGGTTTCGAGAATTTCCCTCCTGGAGATGCGCTTCCACATTTTCGGTTTGAATCGTTTCTAATACACTGGGCCATCAATGACTCAGTAGCTTTCTTTATTAGGTCAGTCCAGTGGGCCGGTGATCTGGCCTTGAATCACTAGTTTTTCCATTTAGTCCCCTTTTCTGGAGATGTGACCAAAAAACTTTATAACCCGTAATTGTGCATATGACGAAAGTCGATCTTTGATATCGAGTTCTTTGAAGATAAATGCATTGGTGCGGAATGCCGTACATATCTTTAGGAGGCATTTTTAGCATTATAGTGCATCGTCAAAACAAAATAAAACCATTCAGACTACTTCGCTCCTCGCGTTCCCGCCAAAAAGACCCCATATTATTATTTTATTACTAAATTAAAACTTATAAAAGTAAAATTCAATTTATGATTAGTATATTTCATTGACCATCGAAACTATTAATCACCAGAACTACATACGTCTACATACACTCAATCGAAGCATTGTATGAATGCGAATACACGAAATAGCGTGACGCGCGTAGGTTTTGGTTTGTGATAACCTCAACTGGCCATTAGTGGGCTAAAGTGGCAATAAACTAGACCTCTTTACGAGCGGTCTTGACTCTCGATCGTCCGTGAGGTGATTCCGGGCTTCGTGATGCGTAAATCCGTGTAATATGGTTGTTAAATTTCAGGCTTTAGATCTAGTAGAGCATGCTAGTACTGAAGAAGACGGCGGGACTGAAGGAATATATTCTGATTTATTACATTTTTAAATCACTATAGTGTTCTTATTTAACATCCTCTCGGTAACAACTTTGAGTGGTTGATTCAACTATGTTTTGAAATTTGAATTGTGAGCCAATTAGTAGCTACTATTATATTTTATATAGGGTATCATTTAAGCTATCGCCAATTTAATTAGTTATGTATTTCTTAAATAATAGGGTTTGCCCGCAAAATATACCTAATAGTAGATTTGTCACCAAACAATATAAAATCAATTCCTATTATATATCAATATCCTAAGTAATAAAACTATTGTTTTGAGAACGAAGTTTATATTCATCTAATGCACTACAATTTTGTTGGTAATCCATCTCTTATTTTGCACATATACATATTAACATTAATTTGATAATTCATACGTGGGAACACTTTTGCTTATCTGAGAATGAAAATAATACGTGGTGATAGATCTATTTATTAGCTGATACAACTTGATGATAAATATAAATTTTTGTGACAAGGAATATATTCCCCTTTTATTTATATATAGCGGTTTTCACGTTGATGTGACATAAATTTTCGTAGATTTTTCCGCGACTTACGTTCTACGGGCATTAAAAACCTCTCAAGTAATAAAATAGTAAAATTCGTTATGTAGTTACAAATAGTGATGTCTATACGTACGATAATATGTTCCATTCAACTGAGCAGCAAAGCGCACGACATCGCGTGTAGATACACCTAGTCACACCTAGTTCACCTACCTCTGGTGCGAATTTTGTGCTTTCCACTGATTATGTGAATCTCACTATTCTAATCTATTCACTAAGGAATCTTTAAATTACAATTATATATTTAATATAGTGATCACAAAATTTTCGTATACTGGTATGTACTGAGATTTAACCCTGGTTAAGTTCTGGTACTCCACTGGTCAGAAGACATTCATTTTAATAGCCTAGGATATTGTGGTCCTCGTATTGGAATTCAACTACCACTAATATATCCTTAAGGTGTTTGATGTCGAAGTTAATTATTCGTGTACATTTTTTTTATTTAATGCTAATGTTGATGTTTATGGTCTCATGTAACCACTTAACACCAGGTAGACCGCTAGCTCATCCCAAACTAAGCACTAAAAAAAAATTAATATCCTAAGTCGGACAGGAGGAGCCCTAGACTTGCTAGTGTTCCGAATTTGAATGCACGACCGATCCGTGGCTGAAATAGACGAGATGATGGTATCCACTCATGAACAATATACTTTATAACCACTATATCTTAAATCGTTAATAGTATGGTCCATAGTAGCACGAGGTCGTCTGCTAGATTAATTGTGGCCAACAGCGCAAAAGTGGCCTAACCCACAATTTTTTGTATTCAAGCTTACATGACGTATATTGGAATTTATTTAAAATATAATAAATTTTGATGCAAAACCGTCCTATCCATAGTTTCAACCATAAACAACAGATAGCTTTGTGAACATTATTTTTGCGCGTACTGTTTTTTTGCCTACTCAAATTCAAATTCACAAAAATTTAAACCTAATTGCCTCAATACTAACTATGGTAAACTTTACGCTGACGGCCTCAATTAAAAAAATATCACGATCAGTAAGACGCATTGATACTTTATTCACCCAACAGGCGTGGGGACGGTTAGTAAGGTTTCGCAACCAAGATTGATCGCTTTACCTAATATTTTCGGCCTTCGTACATTCTTTTACATACATATAGAATCCATATGTAACTACAAAAGCAAGGTTTCGGCGAATAAACAAAAATTACACAGATTGGCGGTTATAAAGTATGTAACATGTAAAAATTTTAACAGAAACAATTTCTGTAATTAGATAAAACTGGCAGAGAGAAGCTTAGTAGTGAACAGAAATTTAGTGTGATAGTGTGAGATCTCATTTCTGATATGGGGCTTCTAAGTACCAACCACATTCGTTTGGCTCCTTGCGAAATCCTCCGGCAAAGCTATCGTTCCTTTCTAACCTTTGGACTCATGGAAGCGTTAAGTTCTTTGTTTTTTGTACCATATAACCAATGCTTATGATCTTACCAACCACTATCGGGTACTAATGTGTTGGAACAAATTCCATTCCAGGGTGTTGTTACAAACACGATGGCTCCAAAAAGTGCCCTTTCAAACACCAAATTAAAGATCCACTCATGATTTGCGTATTGAGATTCCATTCCAGATTGTTGTTACAAGCACTATGGCACGAAAAAGGGGCCTTTCAAACACCAAATTAAAGATCTACTCACGATTTTCGTACTGAGATTCCATTCTAAAGTGTTGTTACAAGCACTATGGCACCAAAAAGGGGCCTTTCAAACGCCAAATTAAAGATCTGCCAATACTCACGATTTTCGTATTGAGATGCATAAGCTCCCTCTCGGTGACACGGCGCCGCGCGGTCTCCATCTGCTGCTGTCGATACTGGTTATATTTGTAAAGCAAATACATTCCGGGCAGGGCTAGAACCACGAACGGTCGCATCAAACTGTTCGACGAGGATTGCGCTCGTTGCGGCATTTTCCCATTACCATTATTTATTTCCGTTTTTAAAATGCACTTTTCTCGGCGACAGTACTGCTACTCGCGATTTTAAGCCTTGTGTTCTGTACGTTTGAAATCATTTTACAATGAATAAATGTTATGACACGACTAACACTTAATGGAAGATTTCGATAGATTAAAACTAATATAACTAAGCCTTTATATTATGTAGCACTGCTAAGGGGTTTCTACGTTTAATAATTTGATTTTATTATTGCTTTTTTTAATAGACCTAGTAATTTTATTCACACGTTCTTAGAGCATTTTCTTTCTGAGAATTTCAGACAATTGTGTCATTGCTCCGTATCTGAAACAAGAAAAAAGAAGTTTTTAAAACAGTGGTTATTAATAAAAAATTATCAATGCTTCCAAAACGGATTTTTAAATGAACAAATTCATAGATGTAATGTTCTTTTTTTTTTATTGCTTAGGTGGGTGGACGAGCTTACAGCTCACCTGGTGTTAAGTGGTTACTGGAGCCCATAGACATCTACAACGTAAATGCGCCACCCACCTTGAGATATTGAGATATTCTAAAGGTCTCAAGTATAGTTACAACGGCTGCCCCACCCTTCAAACCGAAACGCATTACTGCTTCACGGCAGAAATAGGCAGGGTGGTGGTATCTACCTACCCGCGCGGACTCACAAGAGGTCCTACCACCAGTAAAACTAATTATATAATATGTATAATTAATTTCCTTAAATTAAATGAATCTAAAACCTTAGATCTTAAAAGCCGTGTCGTTTTAATATAATAATATCCAACAAGATCTTCAATAATCCGAAGTATGCCAATTCAGAGCAAACATCCCGCCGAGATCCCCTCAGTGATCATGCGATTTCGGCGACAATCCAGCGGAATCCGATTAATTAATGCCTTAAATTACCTGATAACGAACTTACTGATATGCTTGAGACCGAAATAGGCTTAATGGACGCTAAATCCAGGGCTGTCCATAAATTGCCATGTAAAATTTGCGGTAAAAAATTTATTGTAAGTATTATGAACTTTGCCTTGAATATAGAACAACAAGAGTTAAAGCGATTTGGTTTTTCCTACCTATCCGCTGGTAACATAGGGGGCTATCCCATCTGCGCCCAGTAAGTGAGCTCACGGGCTCAGCCTGAGATAATTTGTTAACACTAGCCCTAGTGAGAGCAGTGCTTCACAGAATCTACCACTAGATTGAAATCGCGACCCACTGAGAAGATCTAGCGAGAAACTCAGTCGGCTGTGTCTATGGTTTATTAAAAGGTCATTTAAATATCAAAGTACTAAGTGCTTTCTAAAAATAGATAGGTTGACAGGAATAGGTTTTAGATATTTTCACCTTTCATATTTATTGCATTTATATACCTATATATAAAAATGAATTGCTGTTCGTTAGTCTCGCTAAAACTCGAGAACGGCTGGACCGATTTGGCTAATTTTGGTCTTAAATTATTTGTCGAAGTCCAGAGAAGGTTTAAAAGGTAGATAAATATGAAAATCCTCGGAGTTAAATAAAAATAACAATTTTGTTTCTTTGATATGTCCTCCGTCGGACGGATTCATTATGTTTGTTTTAAGTTTATTTTATACAAAAGTTTAGGTCTTTTATTTCTCGATTGAGGCACTACGAAGTCTGCCGGGTCAGCTAGTTGGATATAAAAATCTAAATAACAAAATTCATTGATAACAAAAATGTAATTAAGTCGTCGTACATGAAAAAAAAAACAATTCAGCCCTAATCATTGACGATTTTGATTGACAGTTTCCTCCTACAGCGAAATGCGGTAATAGGTTCTTTTACGTTCCCGTCGTTTCGTAGGCGAGCGAACAAATAGTTTATATAACATGTCTATAAATGTTACGCAATAAACCTAGTAAATATTATGTTAGCTTTTCCAAACGCGCGTAGCTTTTCCAAAGTCACGGTAACAAATAACAAACATTAACGTGGAAACAGATATTCAAAATTTGGAATACATAAATTTGCGCTAAGAAATTCGAATTTTAAAATTTGGTCAGCCTATTTTGTTAAAAAAATAATTTATAATTTAAAAACAACAAATATTTTTTTAAAGAATTTTTATTTACTCAATGATATACTTTCGATTGAATAATTAAACAAAGAAAAAGACATACAAAAAAACGAATTTAAGACCATTTAAAATCACCCATAAACGATTATGATAATCGATAGAGGCGTCACAAAAGAAGACAATTTAACAACGACAATTGAATTTCCCCCGTCAGTGACCTTCCCGATCGCACGCAGAAACCTTTCACCAGAATCAATGAGTGGCCTCGTAAAATCGAACGGCTTTGGTTTAAGATGCCCGTGCAAGACCGTACCAGCCGGCGGTAGACTTATTGACAAGATAGGATCGCCGTATAAGCCTGTAGCTTTCGATGACGCCACTTCAGGATAAATTATGGATTTCAATGTTAATACTTCCGTATAGTCTTGATTAATCTACTGAGTTTCTAGGCGGATCATCACAGCGATGCGCGTTTCCGATCCGGTGGTAGATTCAACGAAGCACTATTCCGGCATTTTTATTATTATTATTATTTTATTGCTTAGATGGGTAGATGAGCTCACAGCCCACCTGGTAATAAGTTGGAGCCCATAGACATCCACAAAGTAAATGCGATATAAGTTCTAAGGTCTCAAGAATGGCGGTGGTACCTACTCGTGCGGACTCACCAGAGATCCTACCACCAGTAATTACGCAAATTATAATTTTGCGGGTTTGATTTTTATTACACGATATTATTCCTTTACCGTGGAAGTCAATGGTGAAAATTTGTTGAGGACGTATTTCATAAAAAAAATTGTTACCCGCCTGGGATTCGAACACCGTTGCATCGCTCAACACGAATGCACCGGACGTCTTATCCTTTAGGCCACGACGACCTAACACACTTAGGCAAACCCTCTCAGGCTGAGCTGTGTGTTCGCCCACACACCAAGGTCAATTCAGAATAGCTACTCGAGGCTACTGGTAGATAAACAGGCAGAAAAAGGTGACTACGATGAGAAATACCAAAGAGGAAAAGGAATTTTGATCGATAAACCTGTTGGTCTATACATGGGAACTGGATATTAGAAGGTGGGCTGATGTCTTTATACAGGAAACAGATGAACTTAGGCAAGGACAGGGAATGACGGAGGAAGATGGAATAAGCGCAAAAAGTTTTTTCATATTTGAATCTAAGAAGTCTAACAATTTAATACGAACAGTGCTTGAACAAATTTAATCACGAGTCATTAGCAATATTTTTTAGTAAATAGCAACTATGAAATAAATAGATGTTGTTTACTACTTAGGGCCTTAAGGTGTAGCATAAGTAGACCTACTTTCGAGGGCAATAAGAAGACTCGTAATGTAATGTGGAGGTAGCCCGGAGGATTACTCGCATTTCCTTTTGAGGGTAGAATATTGTTAATTAAATTATTGTATTATTTAGGTAATACAAATTATTATTATTTTCTTATATGGCTGTACGAGCACACAGCCCACCTGGTGTAAATGCGCCACGCACCTTGAGATATAAGTTCTAAGGTCTCAGTATAGTTACAACGGCCCCACCCTTTAAACCGAAACCCATTAAATTTTATCATCACTAAGCTATGTACATATAAAGACTGTTCGTTTTTTCCTGGCCGCAAACGGGCATTTTCTTCACGTTTGAAAATAAAGATAGCATCCACTTTAAGTCTTAAAGTAGATCGTTGAAGCTAAATGCCCTTCTTAGGGCTTATGACGCGACGTGAACTCTCCTGTGAAATGGCCACGGCACGGCCGCCGGTTGATTGCCTCGCGGATAACTACCGTATAACGAGCTTAGGTGTGCTTCGAATTATATTAGGAATATTCCGTGTTAGCATCTGAACAAAGTCATGGAGCTATGTGCCAAAGCTTATGATTATTATTATTATTATATTACTTATTATTATTATTATTATATCCGGCTTTAAGTTGAAGATAATAAAATACATCTCGCAGCGTCTTGATTGGACCCCTAAATATTGCTTTTTTATTATTGCATAAACAGGTGGACGAGCTCACGGCCCACCTGGTGTTCAGTGGTTAATGGAACCCATAAACATCTACAACGTAAATGCCACCAACCACCTTGAGACATAAGTTCTAAGTCTCAGTTTTTTTTTACATCAAAACGGCTACCCCACCCTTTAAACCGAAACGCATTACTGCTTCTCGGCAGAAATAGGCAGAGTGGTGGTACCTACCCAGGCGGATTCACAAGAGGTCCTAGTATTTCGTTTTAATTTTTCATAACGCCCCTGTTGTTTGTTCTTTAATAAACACAAAGTCGTACGAGTTTTACAAACGAAATACGAAATCAAAGAGAGCGCAAGAGAAATATTCAAAGGGCTAATCAGGTTAAAAGCCAGTCTCTGAAGTTATTTGAATAGAATCCAAATGAGATTAGGGTAATTACGGTTGCCAAGACTGAACTCTTGTTCGCGTTATAAAATTGGGCTACAGGTCTATTTTAAGCTTTCGAGAGCATTCATTAATACAAAGTATATAACATTAGTTTTATATATTAATATTATATAATATAATTTTAATAAATATAATATGTCACTAAATGAAGTAAGCCATTGTTACTGTGTAAATAGCCATGATTTTTCTTAATGATCGTGTTTTCCATAGCAAGTGCATCAAGGAATTGTTTGTTTTGAACGATTTCCACCATGAAGGAATAATGTCATGTAATAATAAATTATTTATTTTTCATTTTTTAGTTGAATTTCTATTTTGCCAATATATTTTTTAAATTTTTCAAATATCTCATCTGAATCAGTCGGTAACTTATCCGAGACATAGGTGAACGGCGCGCCTGGTAGTTTCCCTTCTTGGTCTTGACGCAGATACTCCGGGTCTCAGGAAAACAAAAAATCGCTAACCCTGATTATCCTAGTAAGGGTAACGGATCAAACTGTTTAAAATACTGAATTGTTATCGGTCCTTAATAATTATGCCAAATTTCGAGTTAATCCGATGTCTTGAAGGAGGTCAAAATCATGTTCAAAGATTCCGTTACATACTAACATACGTATGAAGCTAATAAGAGCGTATTCAAAATCAAACCTGCCAAAATTCTATAATTATTATTGGTAGTATAGCCTGTTCAATTCACTGTTCACGTTACAAAGAAGATTGAAATTTTACTAATAACTTTAACGTTTAGCGTTATAAATATTTTTCATCACTTTTGAACTTTCCACATATTCCAAATTCGTTCGGTTTACTTTAGTCTTTATTTGAGTTTTACACTAAGTTGATC